GAATCTCTACTGCGCAGACTCTGGCTCCAAACGAATCTCTACTGCGCAGACTCTGGCTCCAAACGAATCTCTACTGCGCAGATTCTGGCTCCAAACGAATCTCTACTGCGCAGACTCTGGCTCAAGATGGCAGCGGCCATACTGAGATGCTTTGGCTTCACTTTTCTATAGTGGAAGGAAGTGGAGACGCGTCGTCCATCTTTTTTACAGTCTATGGTTTTTTGAATGGGAGTTTGGTTAAATCCCCTAAAATAAGGTCTGTGGTTCACACAAGCTCAGGATTCTTTCAAGTTTTATTCTACAACATAAAACACACCAGTTACAACCCACTCGTGATTTTTTAAAACTGTTCTGTTTCTTAAAAAAGACGGTTGCTAACAAGTTGCTAAATGGGACTACAGGCGCTGGCGGAGACATTAAACGTCATCACACCGAACAGTTTATCAATTTACAGTATTTTCCAATCATAGTGTATATAGTACAATTAATTGTAGAATAACCAATTAATAGTTTCCCGCATTTTATATTGTTGTTCGACAATGTTTTTTTTGCTTTGCCCCGAAATGCAACACAAGTGTTCGGATGGAAGATGCTCGTTTTATCGTTTTCCTACTGATGTATCCCAGCGGAGACTCTGGGTTCATACCATAAGGTAAACTCATATTACGATTATTCATGTGAATAACATAAACACCACACGGCTTAGTCAAGGTGAAAGTGAAACTTTAACGATGCATAGTGCTTAAAGCCACATTAAAATTAAATGTTCACGGCCACATGAAGCTGTTATAGATTGAGGATTTTTAAGAAGCAAGGATAAAATAAAATTTTGTGTAGCCACCCTAACAAAACGATAGCTCAAATGTGGTACTTTATTCACTAAAATAAGTTTAATCTTACCATATCCAAAAACTTGCTCACTCTGCTGTTATTTAATAGATTAAATGCACTAGAATTTTATTGAATAGTACGTGGAGACACGTTTTTAATTAAAATATTCATATTAATCAAGGATTTATTGACTTTTAATGCACCTTATTTCGAAATGTACAGAAATACTTGCTTTCATATGTCGTTTAGTTATGATTATTTCATTTATTCATTATACTATTTATTACTAATGTCTCATTTCAGTTTTAGTTTCGCTCTAGTTTTATTCCAGTTTATATGAAAAGGTTCATGTAGCGTGGATTCAAATTCATATACAGAGTAAATCCTTTTCACTGAACGTGGTAAAAATAAGTTTGAAAAGTTGTGGGAAGCCTGGTGCTGGTGACGTTGAAGGCGAGCGACTATGGTGCTGTAGTTCGTTTATAGCATAGACTGTATAAAAACATGGACATAGTGCCCGTGACGTCACCCGTAGGTTTGCGAAGAGTGTTTTTGAAGCTCAAAGTGGGCGGAGGCGGCCGTCGCCATCTTGGCAGCGCATCACTCCCGGGTAATCGAAAATGGGCAAAGAGGCGGGAGCTGGTTGCTGAAACCACGCCCACCTAGCTCGACGGTGGTGACAGCAGCGGCAATCCACCTGTCACTCAAGTGGCCATGCCCTTAATTATGCAGAACTTTAAGGCTTAATATAATTTAAACATATGAGTTATAAAACAATTCACCCCCCCTCACAGTTGTCATGAAGGGCAGAATTAGCTATATAGACCAAAATCATTTTTTGAACCAGGCTGTAAACATGTTTTTTCTGTGCTGTAAAGTTGGGCATTTTAACATGGGGAGTCTATGGGATTGACTCCCTTTTGCAGCCAGCCTCTAGTGGCCAGTTGACGAATTACAGTTTAAGTCACTTCCATGTTGGCTTCACGTGAGAGAGCGGGAGGTTGCCGCTTGGTT